TTCTAAAACACCACGTGAAGGCCAGAGCTGGCGAATACTTTAAAGCACTGTCTTTATTCCAAAAATTGAACATATGTATTGCAAAAATTTAACAGAAATTAAAATTATTTGGTTTTAAATATATAAAAGAAATAATTTCTTCAAAAAATTTCTATGTTCTATGAAAATCATAAATAAATGTTTGTCTCGAATCGTATATGGTGGCAAACAATCTGAAAGATCTTTCACGATCATTTTTTTTATTTTTTGATAAGCGATTATATGTATTATTTATTTTGCCATTCTATTTTGGAACCATTTTTCTCACAAAAATAATTCGTCTTACTTAATGGCATAATCCAAGAACTTTAAATTGAGGTATCTAAGGTAATGTGTATAAAATAATACAAAATCAAACAAATAGTTTGGAATATTCGGCAGCTCCATTGGCAACTACTTTTGTCAGCAACATTAATTACACAATTTAGGTGATATACATATCATATCAGAAATTCTAGCTTCATATTAATCAACATAATGCTAAACACTATAGAATGTATAAATGTAAATCATAATAATTGACTAGAATATGAAAATATGGTAAACTAATTACCATAAAACATATTGTCTATTAGATAATGTGACTCATTCGCTTCATTAATGCATTTTTTCAATACAAACTGCAAGTTTTCATTTTCAACTAAAATTAACAATAAAATTAAATTGGAATATTATGAATGCTTTATTATATAGCAAACCAATTAACAATAATTTTTTTATTTCGTGAAAATCAACTACTTTGGATTAATTTGTAAATACTCCAATTATAGTTATAAAATAAATCAAACTATGGTGCTATAAAACATTGTTAACATTTTTACTATTTAAAAATATTTAAACATTATTATTAAAAATATATAATAAATATAACAAAAATTTATATATGATCAAACGAAAGTAGCAATAACAAAAGGTCTCATAATTATTTTAATGAATTTGTCTATTTTTTAATTCTTGTTGAAGACATTAAAACAGTGGATTCGCTTTATTTCTTCTGACTTATTATGTTTAAGGTAAAAACTGAACATGAATTTAAACCTTCTAAAAAAGATAATTTTATTTCACTTATCAACGTGCAATCTATAAATTACTGAAATGTATTATTCTTCTAAATTAACATCCTTCGTGTTGCGTTTATTTTATATTAATCTCATTAGTTTCTATATAATATATTTAATAAAAAATATATTGCATGAAACCAAATTCAAAGTTTTCAAATTGTAAAAATGAATAAATTATAGAATCTCATTAATCAAGATGTCACTAATATAATCTAAGTGTTTTGTTCTCAAAAAAATGGCTTTTATTCAATACTTAATATATAATTAAACCATTATATTTCAGGTAATAAAAATAAGTTAAAGTCCTGAATAAAAGAGCAAACTGATTATTTTGCTAAAAACTGGTCATTATGGTTTTGGTCACAGTCTTAAAATTGTCGAGTTCGACTATCAAATTGTTTAAGCCAATTAATACTTAGATAGACATTAATACTTGGTAAATATACAAAAATATTAAAAAAAATAAAATGTTTATATCCGGTATGAGCAATAATATACTTAGTGATTTAAAGTATTCTATAACAAAACAACTATAGAAACTATATAAATTATGAATTTCTATGATGGTATGATATTGAAAATAAAAAAACAATTTATTGGGTTTGGTCACAATAGTAAGTAATTGGATGTATGAAAATGCATGTCTGTAGTTAAATAAGCATAGAAACTGAGAAAATATAGTATTTCATTTTTTATTAATTAGTAAAAAAAAATAAGATAGTATTTTCAAACGTTTTGAATAAATGTATGTTCTTGTTGCTTAGAGGTCAACAAAAAAAAAACGTTTTTAGATCCTGGGCGATTTATAGACATTTAGTTACTTGGTTACAACCTTTCCCAATTCAAGAGAGAAAAAACTGATATATAGCGACAACAAGACGATTAAATTTTATTTATGAATCTGACACTATAGCATTAAATATTTTCAGTTTATGATATGCAGTAAATATGGTTGAGAGTAAAATAATTATTATACATGTTGTCCTACGACTAAATTTGTTCATATAAAAATAAATTTGTTTTTCTTTACCCAATAACAAAATAATTTTGAAATTTGTTTTTAAATCGATATGAATATTTACCATAATAATCCTGAGTTTAATAATAATCCATTAGCGCTTGTTCTTTGGCATAAAAATTTTAAATTCCTCATACTTATTATTCCTTGAGTGTTAATATACTTTCATTTTATTATCTGAAATTTAAATTTATATTAAAGCCTGAGTCAAATGAAATTATCTCATAAAAATTATGATAGAATATCTTAGGGTTATCATATATATTTTTTGGCATAAGTTACCTTGGGGGTTTAATAAAATAACATTTCACTTTTGATATAAATATCTTCAAATAACGAACACAGTCGAAAATGAAACCTTGTAAAGATTTTTATTCATGCAGTCTGCAAAACTAATTGACATTTCCATATATATTTAAATAGACTAAACATAAATATTATCATTTGTTATGACATTAACATTTAAAACAAAACATCACTTATTTATCATTGATATTTTTTTTTTTTTTTTTTTGAACTCAGTTTTATTTAGCAATCAGAAATACATAAAGATTCCTATGAGCTAAAATGACAAAATTTATGAGTGATGCCTAAGAAGAACTCCAATGAGAACTTCTCAGTTTTACAATTAGTATGATATATTAGACCTAATCTAAGACTAAGTCTAGGGGCCATTGTCGTTTCAACCTCCTAATGCCAAAAGGTTGAGTAACGTCAACTATAGAAGGATTCAAATGTGAGTCCAGTTTGCGCTTATATTTTTCTTTAACTTCTTTAAACGTTAATTGCACCGTTTTCATATTGAGGTCGCTGTGAATGGTCTCATTTGTCACGTACCACGGAGAATTAAGAATTGAACGTAAAATTTTTGACTGAGTTCTCTGCATTATAGCTATATTGGATTTGTAAGCACATCCCCAGAGCTCAATTCCGTAGGTCCAGATTGGTTTAATAATCGATTTATATAGCAGCAACTTATTTTCGACAGAGAGCTTCGACTTTTTACGCAGTAGCCAATCAATTCATTGATATAAAGTTATAATATAAGGGCTGCCAACATAAGGCTCATTCATACTTTGCAAAGAGGAATACGATTACAAACTAATTAATTATTTTCATTGAAATGATTTCTGTTACCTATTCTGCGGCAGATATGAAATTTTATTAATTTTGTTTATCATATAGATAATTATTCACAAACAATTATGAATAAAAAATCGCTTTCCTTTAAAAGATGGCGTTCAACCTGTTAATGTTGGCAACCCTTTAAATTTAAAAAATTTTGCTTTGAAGGAGAATTGCACTGAATCAGTACTAAATAATTTTTAAATTCTGTATATTATTGGACCTAGACAATATACTAATTATTGGATTATTGGATAATGTGTTGTATCGCATCAGTACATAACAAAATTTTAAATTCGAACTAGTATTTATACTTATTTGGGCGTTCTGACAAGAAAAATTTGCAAAAGTTATTAAGTTAAAAAAAAGTGAAAAACTTTATTCAAATCAGTGCAGTCCACCTTCATCACTATGAATATCTGTAACATATTAGTTTTATATATTGTCATTCTTTGCATTAATTGAATTTCATTTACAGAAATAAATTCAAAAGACAAACATATACCATATTTTTATAAAATTTAATTTTGAGTAAATAAATACATAGTTGTTTAATTATAAATTATATACAAAGATCAATATCATAAAACAATGCATAATAAAACTTATGAAAAACTGAATGTTCTTACTGTTTTCAGAATTTCATTGTACAACCATATGGTTGATGTATTCGAGTCACTTATGTGACTAAAGCAATTGGTAAAATTATGCATTGATTATTAACATAATGCAGGCAAAGGTATAATGGTAATAAAAAATTAAAAATTATGACTTAGACATCTAAAAACAATTAATTTGACAAGTCTACTTCATCAACATGACCTGAGTTTCTACTTCTTTTGGATACAATCTACATTTTAACAATTAACAGCTGCTCTACAAACACTCATATACTCAGCACAATTTATTACAGGTCTACACATGCACATATAAGTACAAATTTATACACTCTCATATAATCTATAATTAAATATTAATAAGATAGACATCTATATTTATAAAAATTGAGTTTAAACTTATTTAAAAATAAAGAAAAAGAGCTGAAGTATAAAGTAGACCACCAATACAAAATAAATGAATGTTAATTGAATTAACTAGACAGTAATATTCAAATATAGAAATATGCTTGATATGTAACAGAACTGTTCCCATTATAACGAGAAAGCAAACTAATTTTTGTTATTGAATTAGAATCACAAAAAATGTGAAGATATGACCTAATTATAACTTGTGAAAAATATCTCAATTTCATCACATACAAATAATATAATCAATTTTATTGATTTTCATTTATGATTATCAAAATTATAAGCTATAAAAACAAAACATAATATAGACAACAAATTAATCAGAGAATTCACAAAAAATAATTATCTTTCCACACACGCTCACTAACATTCCAACATTTATATTTTGTAAACATATGATTATATATATATATCCATATGCATATGTGTGTAACATATAGTATCATATACTCGTATGCCCCATATGCACACATATGTAAAATAAAATAAATATGCATATGAAAACATACATCCTATTGCTATTTATATAATCATACTAAAATATTAATTTGTTTTGCACTTGAATTTTTCATATTTCACAATCAGCTACTTTTGAGAATATAATTTTTGTTATCCATATGCAGTTAAGATAAGTTTGTTTTCGCAGTAGTTTGGCTTCTAATAGTGTGTGGTCAAGAATTTTGATTAGAGGTTTAACAAAAGGCCTTAGGGGTGCTATACAAAATATTTAGTTTATTACAGGAATGCCCAGCACTCAAGTGTTTTGACCACGAAATCCTCTTGAGGGGCAAGTGGTTCATTTGCATATGTACTACAGCGCTGTGAACGCCCTTGGTATAAATCTCCATCAAGCCAAAGCCCAAATTTGCCACTGTAATTTGTTTATCAACATATTTAGTCATTTATTAAACAATTAGAAAAATGACTATGATAAATAAATAGAAACAAAATGTAAATAATATGAAATCATCTTAACTGCGACCGATTGATATAATTAAATTTTAGTATTGGCAGTATGTAAGGATGTATAAAAGGATTATTATCATTATATAATTGAATATAACTTACTCTCCAGCACCAATAGCAATACTTTCATTGTTTCCCTTAATAAAATACAAATTTTCCCCACTCCAGTGAAAGACTCGGAAATCAGGATTGAATTTAAAAAGTAATGATTCCCCTGTGCCATAGAAATGATCGGACACTTTGAGAGAGCAAGATGTCAAAGCTCCAAAAACCTGAAATTAAACATTACTACTAATTATTTATGACATTTTACTACCTACTATTAATTATATTTTATTTTATATCCAACCCGTCTCGTGTATAGTTTTAAGCATTCCAATTAAATATAATTGTTCTATAGCACGATCATATATGAATGCTGAAGAATACAAACACTCTACATTTATAAATATTGAAGATATAATTAATTGTTACTTTTAAAGGCTTTGTTTTCTTTTACAATTATAAATAAAATATGAAAAATGAAAAATAAAAAATAAAACACTAAAAACAACCATATACTCACATTATTATCGGTATCTTGAATTACAATTAGTACTGGACTCTCTAGTCGTTGCATTTTCCTGTACATGGAATTTAGTGAAAATCCATGTTGGGAAGTGCTGAATACTAGAGACCACATGTAGCCTTCGGCCCGAGCTGGTAAGTGACCACATAATTTCTCTCTAAACAATAATAATGCACATTAATTATATAAAACAGGTGCAACTTGACATTTTTGCAGGATTATAAGGTAATCAAATATATAGTATTCAATAAAAAAAAGCATCGCAAGTTGTATTGAATTTTGAACCAAATTGCTGAAATAAGTAGTACTATACACTGAAAATTTTGATTATATCATTTCGTTTTGAAAAGAATCGTCGAGAGACTTGAAAGGCCTCTTAAACATTTGTAAAATTTAAATTCAAATCACAAATATTAAAACATTCAAATGGTTTACAAATTATTTAAAAACTAACGAAATTTGTTCAGCTATAAATGCAGCTTAAAACTCAAACGAGTATTTTTTATTTCAGATTTTGCAGTGTTAAGTTAAAAAAGGCCAAAACATTTAAGTAACATAGCAATAAATAAACTACGAATTTGATTGGTTTAATTCACATAAATAAAACTAATAAATAAGAAAACTAGTATCATTCTGAAACATATCATTAATCATTATCATTATTATTTTGTTAAATATTATCAATTGTATAACGCCATTTTATTATCAGACTTAAAGTAGAATTAGTTTTTTATAATTTTTTTTTTAGAGGAACGAATTTAAACCTGAATACTAATTAATTAATGATAAAATCAATATAAACATATTAGGCTTGCAACGAATAGTTTATTCGGCAAAATGCCGAATACCGAATATTCGGCATGCTCTAGAGATCGAATACTATTCGGCCGAATACCGAATACTTGAATACATGTGATAGAAAAATAAATGGTAAAATCATGAAAAAATCGATTTTTTACATGTATGTAAATGTATTTCCCACTTATTTCTTTCGTAAACATTCCATATTTTTTATATACTCAATATTATTTATTTCTTATATATCAGGAATGCTAATCTTAATAAAAAAATAAAAATAATCAAAAATATTGTTTGTACTTGTATTTGGCGATAAAGAACAAATGACAGCTAGATAACCTCTATTTGAAAATGGTTAGATTGAATATAATAAATGACTTTATTGTATTGATACAACATATGCGTGTAACCATTGAATGATTCATATTAAATAATATAAACATGTAATAATAAAGTATTTTATTGTGAATATTTAGAAAAAAATCTTTACGTGTTCATTTATAATTTCAAAAGTTGATAAAATTTAAATTATTATATATACAATAACAAAATCATAAAACACCAACAATGCTGTTGTAGAACATTCGGCCGAAAACCGAATAGTAAACGAATATTCGGTGCAAGCCTACATACAAGAATTAACATTTTTCATTTTATTAAAGTAGGGTTCGCAAACATCTCTTAGTAGGCGCAAACATGAACACAAAAACCGTTTGTAGAAACAAAAATGCAAACCAATATGATTATTTTATTGTCAATGTCAATTGAAAATGAAATTTTAATTCAGTTAAGATCAATCAATTACCTGTGCTCTTCCGTAAGAATTTCGGTGTGTCCCACCAGTTCTGGTATTGGCAAATCCACGTCTAGTGAAACGTTCGGCGTCGCATATAAAGCTCGCCGTAACTCGTCACTCATCGACAATACCTGATTTAGAAAAAAATATATGTTAATACATTTTAATGTCGTTTTAAAAACATAAATCGCTAATCAACATTCATTTATTTTTTACCAACCACTAATTTTTTTCTAAGCGAAGAAGGCTAATTAATTCAATAACGATGTAAAAGAAATATGAATAATATTTAACTTTCAAGTAGTGACCAACGTATTTGCATCCAGACATAGAAAAAAATATTTATACGACTGAACAATACATTATCATAAGGTAGAATAAATTATATTCAAACTTTTATGAATTATATTAAAAATTGATCTATATAAAAAACAACTACAATAAAAAATAAACTATCAAGAAATACATATCAATGTTGAGCAGTGCACCGAATTTTTATCAAATTAATTAGCCTTTCTACATTCAGTTCATGTAGAACAATAAAAGCTCTTATATGTTCAAGCTTACTAGTTACTTTAGTAATTCGCTTCAAACAAGTGTCACACAAATCAAATAGGTTTTACAAACTTTACCTTTACCTTTTTTTGAATAAAACAATTTTGTTTGATGAAAAGTACTTTCAACAAAAAATGAATGAATTGTTGGCTTGGCAAATAAAAATAAAACAAATGAAAAGCTGATGCAAAGACTCAGACTATTTGACCATATATAAAAGAAGAGTATTGTGAAGACAAGAGTATTTGGATATAATTACTTAATAAATTGCCAAATTTTCAAACATTTAATCTACTCATTTACTTTATATATAATGTGTATTATCGTAACAAATAGAATATGCTTAAGCAAAAGCAATGTTTGGTGTTAATTAAATTGCCATAATAAATGTGAAGTAATCTTTGCATCGTCTATAACAGCTTGTTTTCTGCGATTTACAATGAAGTGTAAGTAATTTCAACAACACATTTTAAGTAAATTGATTTAATTTGTATTAAACAATTTCAATTTATTATTTATTTATTGATTTAAGGAAATGTGTAATAACATTTTTATACAAAATCTTGAAATTACTTATAACAAAATATCGAACACTTACTAAGATCTCCATTAATAACAACTACCTAGCACATGTTGTGGGTGTACGTTATAAATTGTGATTTCAGTTGTGTGTTTTAACTAAATAGCCATTTATAAGCTATTAAATATGTCGCACATGCTCATAATTCAATAAAATTAAACACTATTCACAATGACATTATGTTTAGTCATTTCATTTAATCAACATTATTATACCATATTTAGACTTCCTAAAATGATCTTTTGCGCTTCAATAATATTGTATGTGGAACCAATAAAATAAAAATGTCACAAGCGCACATTAACGACGCAAAAAGGAAATTATACTGGTATTTAAACTAGTCCAATTATTCAAGAACACAATATGTAGTAATTTACTAAAATTACTAAGCGTAATTTTTAATACATATTTATTATTGAATAATATACTGCACATATCAATTTCGCATAATTTCGCAGTTGAAAACGTATGTGATTGTTTATTTGCATAATTATATTTGAATATGCTATTAATCAAATCATAATCACTATTGTGTACACTTCACAGATTACTATCATACAAGAGAGAGTACTACACAACTATCAATGGTGATCAAATTGCAATGTTTTTCGAAATGAGCAAACGTAAATAATATTTTCTCTAAATATAGAAACAACGTATATTCGTAACTTATTTGCACGTATTTGTCTGGACATTAGCATTTGCGTAGAATGTGAAAAAAGACCCAATAATCCAAAAGATCAGGTGAGTTCAGTGTAATATGCGTGACAGGATAGTTCCAAGAAGAGAATAGTTCGCGCCCATTTCTTTCTCATAAGAAAATGTGACAAGAGGTATATTACCAAAATATATATTTTTGAATTAACATTAGAAATAATGTTGTTATCATGTTTGTCACTTATGTATAAAGTAAACAAAAATATTAGTAGTATTACAGCAGCATTAATATTTATAAGTGGGGATTTCAATCAGACAGCATTGTAAAAGTAGTTACTTTGCCATTCTTCTTAGACATTCATTATTAAAGTTTTAAATTAAAGAGGTCTAGAATCTATTGAAGATTATCTCGAAACTGTCTTTCTATTCGATACCCACGATTTCTCAACTCCTACTGGATCGATTTACTTGAAATTTTTGCAGAGTTTTTTCTTAGAGCACTATAAGTATGAATTAAGCTCATAATAAAGTTCAAATTTTTACTATTTTTAAAAAAAATAAAAATATAAAAAACATTGTAAAAAAAATTACTTTTTTCAGACTGTCGCTATTTTGTGAAAAAACAAATGTTTTAAACTTGTCTGAAGATCATAAGATAGCTACATTATTCTAGATTAACAATATATTTATAATTTTTTCTTAAGATTATTCGAGATTATTCTAAAGATTATAATCGTGGGTAGGCCTAGGTGCCAATTTTTTTAGACCCCCCTCTTCATTACCTTATAGAATTAAAACTTTCACTATTTTTAATTTTTAATTTTTTTAAACATTCTCAAAACATTAATTAATAACTTTAAAAAAATATTCAAAAATTCGCATAAAATTCATGTTTTTACATAAGAATACCCCTTTAACTGGGGCCAGATAACTGAGTTTGGTTCAAATAAATTTTCGAGCACTTTCTCATTACTATAGTAAGTCTGTAATTTATACATATATCGAACAATAATTAAGCAATATAATAATATATAGATTAATTTTCTACTAGGCCATTCTATTCACGTACTACTCGTTTAGATATATTTAGTACTACTATACTATATTTAGTACCACTACTGACACACTAATAGTTTGCAACGATTGTAGATGAAATGTATTTTTATTTCGATATTTGCTATTAAACTAAAATGAATTCCATCATAACGATGTATATATAATAAATATAATAAACATATGAAAAAAATCTTAAATAAATATATCGACGATACAGGATACAGTTCTTTTGTAATTATGATGAAAGTTTTATGTAATTTCATAGCAACTAGTATGTCTACCTAATCATATTATTATCACATTTTGATAAATGTATACAAAACTCACAATAAAAGTACGAATTCTATTAGCTTTGTGCCAGGAAATTACTATGGTTTGTCTACATTTGCTATTTTCATTTTTTTAAGTGTTATTCTGCTAAAAAAACGGGTTTCGAAGACCATAACTATTTTTTTTTCTATATTTTTAATTACAATCTGTCACACTTAAGACATTGAGTAATTGTTTTGACTTTTTCTTATTATATGAATGGATGGCAACCCAGTAGTTGTCCAGTCCAGGTTTGACTAATTTTCTATACTCGAAGTATTTGCTGACTTTTTATTATAGATGCAACTATACCCACGAGAGGCGATTTTCACTTGAGGCTATATTTGAGATCTATAACCTCAAGTAGAAATTTGACATCAAAGTTGCCTGATGTCGGGCTACGGCGGTAGCGGGATCGATCCAGCGAACCTGGAACTAGTTGGTGCTAGCCCACACTCTAACCGATATCGCCACCGCTGGCCCAACTATAACTAATAACAATAATTTTCTCCGAAAACCGGTTTTTAAAAACCGACAAACCCTAGCATTAATACACAAATACGATAATAAAAAAAGATGCAATGTATTGATACCATTTATCAATTTATAACATTGCATGTTAGGTGAGGTAACCAATATCATTTGTGTCTAAAATAAATATGTGAATGACCAACAATTGTGGGAGAATAATTCTAGTCCACAAAATGAAAAAAGTTGTCTTGTATTGGGCGTGCGACATATGTTGTCCAACAAACTTTTTAACGCTGAACACAAATTTTAAGTCAGAATTGGAGGTCAAACTGCAAAACAGAGAAAAATAAAGAAAACGACAAAATCTCCGATCTAGCAATTCTTTAGCATGATGATTATGATCCTAAAATTCTCTATCGTTTCCTAACCCTTTTCTTTTAAATAGCTGTGTGACGAATTTCTGCAACTCTTTTTCATCTTTACTGAATTTCTTTGTGTAGAATTCAGCAGCAACCTGCAAAAATATTTTCAAAAAACTGCGAAAATGTTTGCAGCTTATCCAGAAGCAATAAGGAATTTGTGGATTGCTACTGGAATCTACAAAAGAAACTCAATAAAGTGAAAAAAAAGCATTGCAAAATACCGTTTCCCATGGACCCATCCATTAGCCACACTTCTAACTTAGAAAAAGAAAGTTTGAGATAAAATTTTACTTGGGATAGGGGAGGGTCTATTGAGATATCACGTGTAATTATTCTTCTATCTGAATTTAAAAAAAAATCCAAATATTAAAAAAAAGAAATTTTACTATTTTTATGTACTAAATATTTTCGTGATGTTTGGTGAGGTGAAGAGGGATAAAAAATCCTTAAAAGTTCTAAGGTGCTAATGCAACGTGACCAATCGAAAATATTAAGGCAAATTACTGATGCTCCGTGGTTCGTTAGCAATAAGATCTTACACGACGATCTTCATATTGAATTATAAACAGAGTTATACAAATCAACAGTGTCAAACATTTCATAAACTAGAGCATCATACAAACTCTATAGTCACTCAGCTTCTTGAGACACCAACTTCAAGAAGACTGAAGAAGAAGCTGCCTAAAGATAATATGGAAGACCCTTAGAACTACCACATCTTTATATGAACAGAATAGTAGAATCACTTATTGAAGTGATTTTCTAACTATCAGTATAATATCTATCAGATTAATTTATGTGCGTTTGAAGGTGTGTGTGTATGTGTGTGAGTGAATGACATAATCCAAATAGCTCATAGAATTATCCTGTATTTTGCTATTAAAAATGAAATTAAAAAAAAGCCCTAAGGAGTCTAAATATCCTTATAAAATCCTTATATAACTCCGAGGAGTCTAAAAATCCCTAGAAGTTCCGAGGAGTCTAAAATCCTTAGAAGTTCCGAGGAGTCTAAAAATCCTTAGAAGTTCTGAGGAGTCTAAAAATCCTTAGAAGTTTTAAAGATTTTTTGACTCCCTTCCCCTTTGGTAATTCGTAGTTAAATTTAAAATTAGCCCCCCTCACCCCACCAAACATCACGTGTATTTTTAGTAGATAGAAAAAATAGTAAATAAAAAAATGTGTATTTATTTTTAAATTCAGGTAATAAATAATTACACATAATATCTCACTAGACCCTCCTAATTCCACGTAATATTTTGTGATTTTTTGTTAAACCTTCCTTGCCTTTTAATCACGTTATTAATGAACGCCCTTCATGTCATTTCGATAGAGGAGGGCCAGGTAACGACAGAAATTGTAAGATTTTAATATGCATGCAAAAGAATTACTGGGTCATAGATTTCGCCATCATTTATTATTTTTCTCCTCATATATTTTCTCCATGTTCTGCGTTAAAAAGTACATTGAAAAACATAAGCCGTACACCCAATACAGACAATTTTCTTATTCAGTGTCATCGATATAACTCTGCAATAAAACCGTTTATTTGATCGGTAATATTTATGATTACAACCGGATATTTCAATTTTCAATGTAACCACTAAAAATAAATACAAAGCGCTTGAACAAAATATTATATATTAGTAAATTCATGATAAATAACATGATATGCAAATAATAAATAATTGTTATAATACAACAAAATGCAAATTTTACCACATGTTGATCGGCGGAAGCATGCTGCACATCAGTCACGCGCTTTCGGTACGCATTTATTATTCTAGCACTAATGTTAGTTTTATAAACGATAATATAATATAACAACGCGAACGATCCAGCAATCAAAATACCCAAATACATTTTGATGCAAACTTAGTTTAAACCACTGACTTCAAATTTTGTTACATAAGTAATTGTTGTATGTCACAAGTAGTTACAAACACTGGACGCGCTTTCTTGTTGATTAGCACGTCTTATGAGAAACATCTGATATTTAGAAAAATCAATTGGTGTATATTTAAAAAAATATGCAATGTCACGAACTATGTACAATATATTTTGAATATTTCATATATAACAGAACAGATCGGTTTAGTTTTAAATAAGAAGTCATTCTTACAGAGAGAAAAACGAACATTGAAACACGATATGAATTGAATAAAGAGTAATCACATGGTAGATTCGTATTTAGGTTAAATTATTACAATGCAATATTACTATTTAATTTATAAATACTATGTTATAACTACTATAAACCGACAATATTCAAATTCGAATTGACTGATCCAAATCATTATTTTTTACGGTCGAAGTAAGATATTTTTTATATAAATGTCACAAGACAACAATAAATATGAAACGTCAAAATATTCCGAAGACACTAGCGCCACTAAGACTCGAACGTCAAGTGATGTAACGTCGGCGTCGGTCGATACAGTAGAACACTTCAAAATGAATGGTGTGGGAGATGTATCACGTACACAAGC